AGAACGTACGTACCTGGCCCCGCCTACTATCCTCGGAAACGTAAAATGATTGGCTGGAATCTAAAGTGTATCACAGCTCAGGAAAAAAAAGCACCGAAATAAAGCACCGAAATGTGCGCTGCTTTTCGGTCTGGTTACTGCCGTTTATGACACCGGTACCCATCCCTACTTGTAAACATTTGAGTTCATGGTAGCTCCTCTGTTTTTGTCGCTGGTGTGATTACATCACTGAAGTTTTCTGCTCCGTTTTAGTTTCATCCCATTTTGTGTACCGAGTACTTTTTTCATTTGTATCTTAAGTAACAATATCGAATTATTATATTTAAGTAAATAAAATAAACACAGCAAAGGATGATTTTGACCATCAGTATTATTATATTCTCTTAAGTAAAAATCAGATGTTTTATACTCTACGTCAGATTCTGGCCAGTAGACCAGTGTTAGCTGTGCTGTCTGAATAATGAAGACACAGTGCAGGGCAGAGCTTGACAACGCGGTCAAAATGCCTACTGTATGTAACGGATTTTTCCTACTTTAGTTTAGGTGTAGGTGTATCATTTAAAAGACGTGCCTGTGCTGAAGAGGATGGCAGCAGCTACATCTCTGTTGGTTTGGCCTCTCGTTGACCTGATGTGAACATTCTTGAATGGTTTCGACCTGATTATCTACAGAGCACCGTGTGGAGTTGCGTGTCACCTGAAGGAGGCAAAGACCTGAGAATTTCTCATTTGATCCCATTTTTAGTGACTCTGCGTAGTGAGCGGCCTTATTTTTAACCACATATCTAAATAACACTTTTCTATTTTGGTTTTGGTATTTGCCAGCTGGCAGAAGGGAGACATGTTGGAGCGCTTCTTATTGCGTCTCTCATCCTGAGAATAGTAAGAAGAGCAACCTTTATCACTCATCTCATTCTTGTGACTTAACTGGAGGAAGAAACATGGTCAGCAGCTGGGCCACTCCCTGTTTATTCTAAAACCGTCATTAATTATGTAAAAGGACCGGGAGTATTATAAGTCACATGTCCTGTTTTGGTAGCTAGTTGACTTACTGTGCTATGTTGAGTAGGTTCATGGCCGAGCTGAAGACACTTAAACTGTGATATTTAAATAAAAGGGTCGCTCAGCAAATGTATTTTTACCTGACCTTTCTATGAGGCTCATGGAGTCAGACACAAGACACAACGTCCTGATAGATCTATTGTTCTGATCGGGTGTTTGTATGAATTGAATTGTTGCTCTGGGTCTGAGCCTTAAATGCATAACTAGAAGGATGAACAGAAATGAAATGAATATGAAAATGGCACCAGTGCACTTGGTTTGCACTTCCAAACACCTGTTTGTTGCTTGGCCAGAGAAGCAGACGTACTTTGCATACTGTTGGCAACACCTACAATAACTGCTCAAAAGGACTGATGCAACATGCAAAAGGTGTGCAGAAATTATTTATTATTATTAGGGAGAGAGATTGAGGGGGAAAGATGTGTAGCAGGTGACCAAGGACAGAAATGGAAAAGTCCAAAAAAGTTCAGAAGTGCGCTGAGAAGATGGACAGAGTGGACAGAGGAGCTGATGAATGTAGAAAATGGGGAAGCCAGGGCAGCTATGAAATGTGGAAAGGCGATTGGTCCAAATTACATACCTGTGGAGGTGTTTGGGATAAATATTGCTTAACACAATCCTGGAGAGCGAGATAGTTAAATAAAAGGTGGCAGTCTTCATGAACAACCATGATGTCCGGAGCTTTTAAGAAAAGAGGCGATGATCAGTGATCAGTGAGCAGCAGCATGGCTTGATGCTGAGAACTACAGATGTGATGTTTGCATTGGGAATATTAATGCAGAGCTATAGAAGAGGTCAGAAGGAGCTTCACTGTGTCTGTGTGAGGAACTGTTGTACTGCGTGAGGAGTGAGGAGTGGCAGAGAAGATTGTGAGGGTGGTGCAGGACATGTATGAGGACAGTGGTGAGGTGTGCAAAACGAGTGACATATGGGTTCGAGGTGGGGGTGGAATTACATCAGAGATCTCCTCTAAGCCTCTTCTAGTTTGCAGTGGTCATGGACTGGATGGACTGATGGTTTGTGCAGTGGGTATACTGGACAAAGGATGTTGAAGATAATGTTCGTTTGTGCTCCATTTCATGCAGCGTTTCATGATGTGCACGCAAGGGAGGATCTTCCCTCGAACATGGATTAAGTGACAACATTAGGCTTGTAGCTATTGACTGTTTCAGCAATCGAGTATTCCCATGTTTAACTGAGTAATTGGGTAAGAAATATTTTTGGTGCATGCCAGAGAACAAACTAAGCCATCGAGTCCGAGGAATCGTCTGTAGGCCTCCGAGACAGGATGGTGTGGAGGCACAGGTCTGAGGGTGGAGACAGCAACGCTGGAGCTGCCAGTGAGCACGGAGGGCTCCAGCTTTGTTACATGGAAGAAGTCTGAGCACTTCATTAGTCGTGGACGCCTGCAACGAGCTGGAGTTGAGTTTGTCATGCAGATAATCAAAGAACCCTGTAATGCAAGTAACAACATAATTGTAACTGTAATCTGATTACTAAATTTAATACAGTAAAACATTACATTACTGTGTTGCTGAAAAATGTAAAACAGCACTGTAACTGTGTTTTACCTGGGATCACGGTTTTGCTCACACAGCTGAAGAGACCATTTAAAATGGTTCTTTCCTCAGCTGTCTTTATGTGCACACACGGTCCAGCTTCGGGTTTTTTACATGCAGGTCTGTTAAGTATCAAACAAAACACTCTGGAAATGGTCAGGTATAAGGACTGGACTAAGATGAGACCGTGTCCAGAGAAAGACCTTCAGAAAAGCTGGAGAACTATTTCTCAAGGCTACTTTAAAGCAACAAGAACGTCAATATATAGAAATGACAGTCTCAGCCAAATACGGACTCTGACCATGAAGTAACACATGCAATCAGGAGAAAAGGCTGATTACGTGTGGAAAAGACCAATCTAGGGGTGTGGCAGATTATCCAGTTAGGTGGTTGCTTTAGCTATGCAGCAGCTGTAAACGAGGGCTGCAACTAACGATCATGTTGATAGTCAGCTAATCTGCCTAATTGTTCTTGGATCGGTCGATTAGTCAACTGTAACCTCCTGTTGTAGGCTGCCCCCCTGTAAATATCGCCCTGTTGTCTCATCCCACAGCAAATTAATTATTAGGTAATACAAATCAAAGCGCGAGTAGTACTTAAACAAAAGTAATGTGCAGATAGGAAACTATGGATGTTCTGTTCTTAAGTTCAAACTTCAAATTAAACATTTAAATATAATTTTTTGTCCAGTTTCCAAAGTTCACAGATGATTCCGGTCGTGAATTCACAACTGCAGCGTTCCCAGCTGCTGATAACCATGTGTGAGATGACTTGGTGCATGAGCCTCTTTACAGGACAAACCCATCTGTACGCCTCCAGAAGGTGTAGTGTTCAACACCAATTAAATTGCTTAACTGATTATATATATAATTAATTAATGATATAGGCCGACCCACAGATTAACAAGCTAACGTGAGGTGAAAGAGGTTTGCTATTCAGAATCAAGCAGAGAAGAACAAAACCTCAGATGAAATGACCGTACACAAACATGAAGGTGTCAGCGTGAGCGTTCAGAGCTGATGCTCCAGCGTGCCGTGTTTAAATGCTCGTGCGCTGCAGCAGCGTGCACAGTCACGTAGTTTTTGGGAAATCCTTTTTCTTCCTCCTGTTTGGCGGTTCGCAGACGATACAGGCGATACTGCCCCACGGCTTCCTGTAGTGTAACTGCAGTCACAAAAACACATTCACCTGGTTTTAAATATGACATCATAGATTATGGCGACGAATCGTAGCAGCCTACTGTAGACATAGTCTTGTGAGGTTTTTTTCACTGGTTCAGATAAACGTCCTTGTCTGATGGTGTAAAGAGTTCTCGCACATAATATTTGGACTTGGTCCTGTTAGAAGCTTCAGAGTTTAAAATCTCTGTTGTGAGCTGTTCTCTGTGAAACTGCTGATTCATCTTCTTTACTCAACCAAAAGGGAACACAAATATTAGCTTAGTAAAAACTAGCTGCTTGAAAGTTATTTTTCTGCAAAGGTAACTGAACATTGTGTTATATTAATATGATAAGAAAACAATATCAAGTCCACACGTCATAGTAGACGTGTGGGATGAAGGATGCAGTGTTGATGGTGATGAGCGTGGTGCATGGGCGTGCAGGAACAAAACAATAGTAGTTCTGATGTTCCCATAATGCAAACAAAGGTGTCGGGGTTCCCCTGTCTAATCATCTCTCTCTGTCTTCTTAGGTGTAAGCAGCTCAGGATGTCCGCCCACCTCCTCCTCCTCCTCCTCCTCCTCCTCCTCCTCCTCCACTGCCCAGGGCTTCTCCCTCGCTGAGCCAGCCATGACCAGCCAGCACTCACATACACACCCCTCCTTCAGCTCCATCCACTCCATGGCCGAGCAGCAGCAGGTACCACACGCAGCAGCAGTCCCACCACGCATGCCTGTGGGCCAGTGCCAGAGGGATGCATCAACATTTTGTATTCATTTTAGATGTTCAAACGTTGTTGCTTTGCAGAGCTACTGAACATGAAATGTCTGCGAGGTCATGAAGGTTTAATGACACGTGCTATTCAAAAGGATCCGTCCCTAAGCTGGACACTTCCTGAGGCACTGCCCCCACAACCAAAGTCTGCGGTAGCTACTGTTACCGTCAGCTGTGATGCGGGTACTCTGTGAAGATTTACAGTCACTCTGGGGTCAGCGTTGTATTCTGTAACTTTAAACATCTGGATCTGTTCCTCCTTTGCACATACTGCGAACTGCAGGGAGGAGGCAGGGCGTTCTCACCCACGATGTTCACAGTGGGGATGTGTATATATGCCGGTGTTACTGGGGTTATTAAAAAAATCATGTAGCAAATTGTAATGAAGAATTTCTGATGGATGCATAAAAGGAAGAGAACGTGTAGACTATGAGTTACTTAATAGTGGAAAGAGGGTGGGATTAAATAAGCCTATGCTTCCTCCTCCTTTTTAACATGTAAATTATTTATAATGATTCTTATTTTGTTTTCTTTGTCTCAGTTGTTATTGTCGTTATACTATTTTAACATGTTCAGAAATACATCTCCAACCAGGTTTCAGCAAAGTAAAGAGGAAAGCACGTAAACCTATTCATGCCTAACACTTACCCTACTGCTATATAAGAACCAGAACCATTCAAACTGCAAGTAGGTTAACCTTTAAGATAACACGACTACTCTAAATATCTCTAAATGTAACCAGGATTTTTCTAAGCTGAGTGGAACGATTTCAGAGGCATTTTGAATTTGATGATTAAAATATGTTTCCTGGCTCAGTGGTCTCAGTTTTGAGATGTCTCCACTTTATGTGTTACAGATTCACCCAGTACAGCTAAAGTTAGAAGACAGACGTTTGCTTCGCGGTCACTGTAATCGATACTGACATTTGTATGCCAGGTCTCCACCCACATCTTATCCCTCAAAATGTGAACACTTAAGGTGTTTTCATAGCAAACAGCTACCGGGCATTGTGGGTCTTCTGTAAACTGAAGCGACAGCAGCAGGGCACATCATAATCATCTCCCGGCTGTCTCATACACAATTTGCTTCTGATCCTGATCTCAGGTCCTACCGGCCTGTATGCCAAAGGCCACTGCTGCTCTCCTCACACAGCTAAATAGAACAGACTGTAGTTTACATTAGTGAACAGTGGTATGAATAAATATCGCTAACTAGTATGAGCAAAGTTGGAATCTGCAGTTGATCCAATAGTGGTTACTAACTGCTCGTGGATTCCTCAGGAAAGCTAATGCCATGGGTCAGAAACGAATAATGTTATACCTCATCTAGGAGAAAATGATGGGTTCATCTAGGGCTGTGCGATATGTCCAAAGTCTCATCTCCCGATATGAGACATCTATCGTCCGATAACGATATAAATCACAAAATGTAACATTTTCTGTAAACTCTGTGAATCTCGGGCAGCTCGACTTGTGTGAAGTGTTTCCAGCTGGCGTCGTGTAGCTGGAGTCGAGTGTTTTAACCGATGCATGAAACGATACATTTTTAGACATAAGTTGTAACGGCGCCGTTTTCTTTGTGAGTATTTATTACACGGCGTGCTGCGGGGAAAAGCCTGTTCTAACGTTTGAGTCTAAGGTATTTTTTGTCTTTTTTTACTTCTCATCCGTAAATAATCTGCTCTTTCAGTGATTCAGTTTATTTTGAAAAGTCTCAACAGGATCTTGAGCTTTATTGTGAAAGGTTTATGTGGAACATAAACAAGCGGACACGCGATGGTGTTACCGTCGTTGTTGCTAACCACAACGCATAAAAACAGGCGCTTGTCCGTCCGTGGTGTGGTTATATTAAATATAAGAGAAAGAGAGAACTTTAAGAAATTAATAATAACCACAGTGACATCAAAACGGTGAAAAAATATCGCCGTAAACAGTTTATTTTGCGACACCACGAAACAAACGACAGCGTAAAATGAAACGACAGACGTTTTTATATCGTCATCCGATATATATCGTTATATCGAACAGCCCTAGATCCATCTGAACCAGCTACAGATGCTCACGATCCCAAACACAGAACCTGTTTGTGATGAGCACCTACGCATCAAACAAGTTAAAGTGCAGAAATGTCTTTCAGCACACATTGATGAGTGTGGGGCTCAGTCGACCGAGCCGTAGCTCTGTAATGTGTGCAACAAACCTGCAGCAGCTTGTAGTTCTCTGGTCAGAGGTTGCCACAACAACTTGTCCAAGGTATTGATGGTACCCGGTATTTTAAAAACAAAAGCATATAGAGTTTCTTTGATGCTGCCATGTAGCAACCACCAAGCTAACAGCCACATCTAAGGTGTGTAACCACATGAAAACTACAAGAGGTAACAATACTGTGATTTTCCCAAATGTTGTTGTAGGTAATGTTTTTCCAGCTGTTGCCCAAGCTGTTGTTGGTCTGCGACCTTAGCTCTTTGCTGCTGCTTCCAAACTGGAAAGAGCAACAAATTGTGCTCCAGTCTGTAAAGAACTTCCATTCCACTCAAATGGTGATGTCACAGTCCCAAGCTCTTCCACATATTAGAGCCTGACGTTATCTTTTTGTAAGTGTACCAGCATTGGAATTTATAAAGAAGCAATCAAGCGACGTGGCTACCCTAATGTGGCTCTTCTGGCCTCAGTGTGACTTTCAGCAGGTACTAAGGCTAGATGAGCAGTGTTGGTTCTAATGCGTTACAAAGTAACAAAGGTTCTTGGGTGATCTGCACTCGGGTGGAAAGAAGAAACATCAAAGATGCTTTTTTTTCTTCCTGCACGCTCCTGTTAAAGGTCAGCTGATTTCAGTTCATGTACAGTGGGAGGAAAATGGTGGAGCAGTCTACAGCAGATTGCTTTTATTACACTAAAGGACGCCAGCGCTATGGTAAAGTGCAAGCTGCACTGTGCTGCTAACACAACTTCAGCTCTCTGCAAACATCTGCACAGACCTCATGCTAACGCTAGGCTAGCCAAGAACCCAGAGTGACGTTAAAGCTGAGTGTTTGCAAACTTCTGATCTTCAACAGGTGACAAACAAATGAGCAGTCAGGCTACCTGTTCATGTTTCGAAAGTAGAAGCTCTGTGGCGATCACTTGCATTACATTTAAGAAAAGTAACAAATAATGTGTAATAGATTCCTTTTTTGACTAACGAACACCAACAGGCTGGGTTTACCAGCTGAGCTGTGTTCCAAGCCTCGATATAGTCCTGACCTCTGGGTCACTAACCAGAACTAGTCTCATTTCTACAGGTACTGGCTGGACACTTGCTTAGAGAGCTCAGACACCTCAGAGGGGCTCAAAATATGAGTTGTTACACCTCTAATTAGTAAAGGAGCAGGTTGAGGTGGTTCAGCTGTGTGACCTTCTCTCTGCCTCCTATGTGAGGAGATTCAAGCATGTCCTAGACAGTCATTGCTTCCCAAACCCAGACGAGCAGCAGAAGACAGATAAAAACTAAAAAGCAAGAAAAAGATGAGACCAACTCCCTTCAACTGTGTTATGAGTGTTGCTGTTGCATAGTTTGTCCACCAGAGGGCACTTTGCAGTTTCCCTGCATCAACACTTGATCCAAGCAGAACAGTAATCCTCCTCTTTCTGTTTCTGAGGTGAGGAATCTGTCAAAAAAGGACCAAGTATTAAAATTTTAATTTAAAAATCCTCAGTCAGTCAGATTCTGTTACCTGACCTTTTAAGAAACTGGCCTGTATGTGAATAAAAAACGAGTGTGTGCTTTGCCTGATGGTCTGTGCTCCCCTCAGACTACCAGCAACTTAGTTTGTATTAAGTTGTTTTTTGTTAAAAGTTGGTGCAGTGGAACAACTTATCATGTATTAGTTGTAATAGCAAACTAATACAGTTGGTACAAACTGCAAAGGTTATTGATGTGCACTCACACAGAATGAACACATTTGTTTTTAGTGTGAAGCTGTCCTGATACACACATGAGGAACATCTCCTGCATCAAACCTGAGACGAGTTTGTGAAACATTGTTGTTGTTGTTCTCTGCAGGTGCTGTCTGATATGACCATACTCCAGCGGAGAATTCCCCCTAGTTTCAGAGACCCTGCCAGCGCTCCATTGAGAAAACTCTCTGTTGACCTCATCAAAACTTATAAGCACATCAATGAGGTATGAAACAGTAACATTACACACACACCCTTTTATTTTGTACTTTAAATTGTGTCGCCATGATTTCCTGGAGACTTACTGTAAACCTTACATGTGATTTACCTAAAAATGGAAAATGTAACTGTCTAAACAGACTCTGGTCCCACTGCATTTGTAAAAGCTGGACCACACACACAGTCACAGTCCAAAAGTTCAGAGGACATCACCTTAAATTTCCTGGAGACTGACTGTGTAAAGAGATTTCTATCTTGGCTAACCAACCGGAGGGATAGATGCAGCTATACCAAGTGATAGCAGCATCACAAGAAGGTTGAGAAATGCCAACAGCTGGGAGAGGATCGCAGGAAGACGTGGAAGATGATGGCAACAGTGGTGCCTGTGGTAACTGGACCACTGACCCCCAAACTGGGCCAGTGGCTTCACCAGATTCCAAGAAACGACACCTGAGATCTCTGTCCAGAAGAGTGCAGACCTCGAAACAGAACAAGCTTTTATAGCAAGGAAACGAAATATTCTCTGAAGCAAGGAAACCCTCAGCAGCGCTGATCTATAGTTCTTCATCCATGAAATGGGGCGATCGTGGCTCAAGAGTTGGGCGTTCGTCTTGTAACCGGAAGGTTGCCTGTCTCCGACAGTCTCGGTCGTGGTGTCCTTGGGCAAGACACTTCACCTACCGCCTACTGGTGCTGGCCAGAGGGGCCGATGGCGCGATATGGCAGCCTCGCTTCTGTCTGTCTGCCCCAGGCCAGCTGTGGCTACACCTGTAGCTGCCTCCACCAGTGTGTGAATGTGAGAGTGACTGAATAGTGGCATTGTAAAGCGCTTTGAGGGTCTCGAAAAGCAATGCAATCCATTATTATTATTATACTTGTGCGCCACAGGTCATTGATGTGAACGTCATTTTTTGCACTGAAATCCAGCATCCACTTAAGAGACGGCTGATCTAGGAGGTCTGCTGTTACACCCCGAGAAGAACAGAGCAGTAACAGCTGGTTGCTGGTGCGCAGGTTATTTGGGTTTGTTGCTTTCAGATGTACTGTGAAGCAGAGCCTGAGCTGTGTTTGTGTCCACAGGTGTACTATACTAAGAAGAAGCGGCGCGCCCAGCAGGTCCCTCCTGAGGACAGCAGCACGAAGAAGGAGAGAAAAATCTATAACGATGGCTATGACGATGACAATTATGACTACATTGTGAAAAATGGAGAAAAGTGGCTGGACCGCTATGAGATAGACTCACTGATTGGGAAAGGCTCTTTCGGACAGGTGAGGTCTCCACAAGAAACATTCTCCACTTCTATTACTACTACGGCGTAGATAGACGCAAAGTCCAAAATGTCTGAACTAAAGTTATTTGATGGCTTCTGCCGTTAGTGAAATTTGGCCGTGTCTCTGTGAAAAGTTGAAAGTAAACTCTGTGTGAAGGATTAGTAAAAGCTGTCATGTACAGAGCTAAAGTGTCGGTATGGCTAACCCAGCGACAGCCAGCAGCACATCTGAAGGTCACTGATTACAGCAAACAAACCAACGTGCTCTTACAGGGAGCTGCACTCAGTAAGTGTAATCAGTAGATTGTGTTACATTAACATGCCACTGGTTGAAATCAAAGGCAAAGCCATTGTTGTTATGACACAGGCTACATGTATTGTGTACATGACAGGACAAAGTCAGACAGGAAGTGTTGGGCTGTCCTTGAACTGAGTGATTCACTACCTGTGATGTAACATGTGTTCATGTGTCCACAGGTGGTGAAGGCCTACGACCACCATGAGCAGGAGTGGGTTGCCATTAAGATCATTAAGAACAAAAAGGCTTTTTTGAACCAGGCACAGATAGAACTACGCCTGCTGGAGCTCATGAACAAGCACGACACTGAGATGAAATATTACATAGGTAAGATACACACTCTGTACACTGCTGTACAACACAGCTTCTCTTGGTTCATTACAGACACAGGGGGACCTTTACTACATTTATTCTCTGTGCACACACATCTGTTAGTGTGCACACGCACTGTTGCTAACACTGGCTGCTGAACAGCAGAAATCTAACATGCGAGGTATTTAGAGTGTGCGCTCCTATCATGCTGAGGCTGTTTAAGTACAAAGATCTGTCTATACAAGCACTTACTACCTGCATTTGAAATGACAAATAACAAATCTGTCCCGTTAATGTTCACATAGATGGGAATGACGAATAATCAAAAAACATATTTAATATTTCACCTCACCTTTGACACCTGAAACTGAAGCGTCTCAAAACTGTGGTATTTTTAAACGATTCAGTGCATTAACTTTTCCCCATGTCTCCCATTTGTCTCTTTGTGTCTGTCTGTCAATCTGTCTCTGTGCAGTCCACCTGAAGCGTCACTTTATGTTTAGGAACCATCTCTGTTTGGTGTTTGAGTTGTTGAGCTACAACCTGTACGATCTGCTGAGGAACACCAATTTCAGAGGAGTTTCCCTCAACCTCACCAGGAAATTTGCACAGCAGCTCTGTACAGGTGGGTGCATAGAGACGACATGCAGCTGCAACACTGTGGCTGAGCGTTTGTGATTCCACAAAAGGTGCTGGAAGCATGTGTGATAGTCGTGGTCTGTAGTGCTATTAGCTAAGCTTAAACAAAGCGCTGACCGTGAACGACTGAGCCAATCACGGCGAGCGTTTTAAAACTGAGCACACAGCTGGCACAACAAAGTAACAATAACACATTTGAATAAATGGTTGTAAATGTGGTGTGGTTGGGCAGCACGGCGGTGACTAGCCTCACAAGGAGACGGTCCTCAGTTCGATTCCACTGTGTGGAGTTTGCACGTTCTCCCGTTCTGGCGTGTTCTCTCCGGTGCTCCGGCTTCCCCCCACAGTCCAAAGCAGTTAGTGGGGTTGGGTTAGTGGCCGAACCCTGCAGCCTGCTACTGTTTACATGTTTGGTCTTACAGGGAATAAAAAGATGTTAAACAGTTCAGTTATTCATGTGTAGTGAGGCAGGTGTCCGAATACATTTACTGATCGATATGTAAACACTGGTAATAATTCTAGAAATGTGCAGTAAATGCAGGTTTAATGCTGATGATGTGCACTTATTTAGACTATACGTGTCTTCAGTTTGCATAATATTGTTGACACATGTTGGTGTTTTGTCTACAGCACTATTATTCCTGGCCACTCCGGAGCTGTCAATCATCCACTGCGACCTGAAACCAGAGAACATACTGCTGTGTAACCCCAAGAGATCAGCCATCAAAATAGTTGATTTTGGATCCTCCTGCCAGCTTGGACAGAGAGTGAGCACACTTACTCCAGATATGATTCTTTATAAACGCTGCTCACCTACTAGGATCACTCCCCGTTACTCACAACGTTCACATTTGGAAAATATACCAAGTAGCGTGGCTTGCACGATGGCAGAATAATTAGGACTGATGGCTCATGATAAGAGGTTTCTAGTTTTTGTGTGGGTTTCCTCCCACTGCCCAAAGACAGGTCAGGTTAGCTTTAGTGGGAATGGAGAAGAGACACAGCTGTCATCATCTCATCGGCATGAATGTCATGGGAACTTTGGGCTTTTTAAAAATTTTACTGTCCTTTTTCCGTGATGGAATAATTGTACAATACTGCAGCTTGGACAACAAAACTGAGCGCACACGTTTGATCCACACAAGGCTCAAAAGTTTACTTGCAGGGACAAAAATAAACAGATCCATTTAAATCTTTAAGGAGTGCTACTCTACACTGTCTTCTTGCTAATCATGAACAGCAGTTAGCTTCTCTCTGTGTTGTGGGAAAAAGTTACCGTGACATTCATGCCTGCTCTGACCACAACCCTTGATAATGTTAAATTAAAGTGTATAGAATAAAGCGAGGTATGAATGTGTGGTCAAATGTGATTGCATGTGTTCAGTTAAATAGCTACACTGTAAAGTCTTGGTGTCAGATTGCTAAACTCCACTTCCTTCTTAGATCTATCAGTACATCCAGAGCAGGTTTTACCGCTCTCCCGAGGTTCTGTTGGGAATGCCGTATGACCTGGCTATCGACATGTGGTCTCTGGGATGCATCCTAGTGGAGATGCACACAGGGGAGCCTCTCTTCAGCGGCTCCAATGAGGTAACACCAGCGTGAACACACGTGTCGGGTAGTGTCGGGGTTGAATCGGGGATGTCCTTCATCCGTGCTCAGTGTTTTATGCTACATCCATTTAGATGTGTTAAGAAGCTAGCGTAGAGAGGTCACGTTGTAGACACGGTTGTTACGATGACAGAAAGTCTGTCTCTTCCAGTCTACTCTTAGTTCCTTTGAGATTGTACTGAGAAGCATGAATTTGAAGACCGCATGTGTTTGCAACAGCATGTCTGTGGTATGCTCTTACTTTGGTCGACAAAAGAGAGTGTGTGTGTGTGTGTGTGTGTGTGTGTGTGTGTGTGTGTGTGTGTGTGTGCGTGTGCGTGCGTGAGTGCGTGCGTGCGTGCGTGTGTGTGTGTGTGTGTGTGTGTGTGTGTGTGTGTGTGTGTGTGTGTGTGTGTGTGTGTGTAGGTTGACCAGATGAATAAAATTGTGGAGGTTCTGGGAGTTCCACCCAGCCACATGCTGGATGCAGCTCCTAAAGCCAGGAAGTATTTTGACAAGCTGTCAGATGGTCTGTGGACGGTGAAGAAGAACAAGGATGTCAAGAAGGTAAAGTTTGCTTCTGTTTTGCCTTCACATGTGGAAAAATGTTAACTTGTGTGTTTAGTTCAGTTCACTTTCCAAATGTTGACTAACGCAGGATATCCAGGTGGACTCATTCTTCTACTCTACCTGAGCGCTCGAAGCACTTAAGCAACTTGCCTCATTCACCCGTTTTTCCGTTCAAGTCCTTTCTGTCGTCCTGCTGTCACACACACGTTCATACTGCATTGGTTAGTATCTAGCCCAAGGTTATTTGGCATACAGAGCGGAGCAGCCAGGAATCAAACCACCAACCTTCCAGTTGGTAGATGATTCATAGATGACCTGCTCTACCTGCTGAGCTATGGTGAAGATAACCTGCTGAAGTTCAAGCTGAGCATCAGACTGGGGAAGACAGGTGACTCTAAACACGCCATGGCTTCTGGTGTGTTCTGTTTCTACCTGAGGATCCACGGGGTGTTCTTCTCTAACCATCAGGTTTACCTGAAAAAGAGAAAATGTGCAGTGAGCAGCAGCTCTGAAAATGCTTTCTTAATGCCAGATATGAGAGGATAATGAGGAAGGCGACAGTGACTATAAATAACACAACACCTGTTACGACGAAGCTATAACAGGGGCAGGAGAGTGTTTCTGAGTGCTCACACTTGGAATCATGAAGCAGACGAGCTGCAGCAGCAGAACCACACTGACAAGAGAAAATAGAAAATGTTTCATCACCTCGGTTTTTGCTGTGACACGTGGATGGTCGGGTGTAAACATAACATCACCCTTCCTTGTATCAACAATTGAGGCTGGTGGTGGTTTAATGGGTGCAGAATATTTTCTTGGTGCACTTTGTATCGACTCAGTACCACAACGACACCACACGGTACCTGAGATTGGTGCTGACTATGTCCATCCCTTTATCATCACATTATAGCCATCGCCTGATGCCTGTCACAAAGCTCGCAGCCTCTCAGGCTGGGTTCTTGAATGTCACCGTCAGTTCACGGTACTCAAAGGGCCTCCACATGGTCCAGATCACAAACTAATACAGCACTTCTGGGAGGTGGTGTAACTGGAGGATTGCTTCATGAATACACAGCCATCGCTGAGACACTGCTATGGATCAGAATCACTGAGGCATGTTTCCAGCACCTCGACAAAAACAGGCCCAACCCAGTACAAAGTGCAAAGCACCGAACAAGCTGAGGACTCCTCACAGGCTTTCTGTGAAGAAGGATTCTTAGATTATCGACCATGGAGGACCTTTGTTTCCTGCAGTTTCAGCTTTAAGCCTGGACTATTGTGTCTCCAAGACGACAGAGTTTGGGAAACGGAGCTAAATGAATGAAGTTTTCTTTAATTAGAATACGAGTCTCAGTGTTCACCTCAGTATTGTGTCCTGAGCAAAGTGTTGAAGAACAGCGTGCCTTCATGTTGTTATTGGAACTTCGCAGACTTTCCTTAATAGTCATAGCGTGTGTGTGTTTTTGTGTTTTCCAGGAGTATAAGCCCCCAGCCACACGGCGTCTACATGAGATTTTGGGTGTTGAGACTGGGGGTCCAGGGGGCCGGCGAGCAGGAGAGCCAGGACACGCCCCTTGTGACTACCTAAAGTTTAAAGGTAGGCATTTGCATGATTACTGCAGGACTGAGCATTAATATTCATGTAAACAAGTTCATGGAGGTGGAAACAACAAACACAGAGAGGGTGAAATATAAATGAGTGAAACAATAAATACATTTAAAGTTGTGTAAATTATTCTCGCAGTAAATGTCCTCCTGAGGTGTCTCTTCTAATGTGATGTGTATAGATGAAATCTATATTCATTTGTAAGCATAGCAGAAATAGTAGCAGCATGTAGGCCAGTGCGCAGCCGTCAAAGGTGGAGGACTCGGCACTTTGTCCCTGGTTGGTCAAAATGGCTGTGGAAATATAAAAGCCTCCTTGTGGAGGGGAAAGAGCCTGAGCTGTTGAGTGAGGTACCAGAAAGCTACAGCTGGGCTCACCTCAGGGCGCAGCCTGCATTCTGGAAGCACTGTCCCGGAGATGGGGCTGGATTCTGCTCATCGGTAAGAGTCAGGGGTCGGTACACTTGTGTCCTCCCAGTTCGCTGCACTGGGGTTTCCCCAGTGGACAAAAGGGTTGCTTCCCCACACCTTTGGCTCATGAGTGGGTCCTGGCTATCATTCTCTGTTAAGTGTGAAAGCAAAGCTGTCAGTTTAGTGTTTGGTTTATGTTCCTACCCTTGTCTCTGGCCTGTGGGAGTTAACTGAAAGGATGTGGTCGTGGATTAAAGCGCTGAACCTCTATGTGGAGTTAGCATGAGGAGCAGATATCAAGTGAGGGCGAGGGACACAAGAAACATCACGGGGTTGACACTACAATTGTAGCTGGCCACCATCATTATGTCAGTGTTTGTCCTCTTCCAGACCTGATCCTGCGCATGCTGGACTACGACCCTAAAAGCCGCATCACGCCATTCTACGCCCTGCAGCACAATTTCTTCAAGAAAACAACAGATGAAGGAACCAATACTAGTTCATCTACATCCACCTCTCCTGCCATGGACCACTCTCATTCTGCCTCCACTACTAGCTCTGTTTCTAGCTCTGGTAATGTAGACTCTTCTCTTTCTGCACCAGCTTTCCTTGAACTTTTTCCCGTATCTGTTAGAATGAGGAATATGTCATCCTTGTCACAGGTCCAAAGAAATGGTAGCAGTTTAGATTTCATCCCTAAAATGTCTCAAGCAGGATTTTGTTAGGATCAAGTAGACCGGGGCAGGAGTGTCGTGAAACAGCTGAGAGGATGCTGTTTGCTGGGCGTGTGTGAGATGCTTATTAGTGCTTCATAATACAGATTTGATGTGACCCAGTGATATTCAGTGGAGGGTCTATGTACTTAAACGCTGCAGCACGGTCACCCTCCCTGTCAGCACATTGCTTTATTTCTCAGTCAGGTTTTCATAGTTTTCTTGATGAACATGAAAGTGAGGAGACAGGCGAGTTCGTTCTCGGTGACGGGAACAGCAGATCCACTCTTTAGTCTTCTTCAGCGTCGCGCAAACACGCTACGAGTCAGAGCTGAACGCCCAGCGTTCATGGCGGGGTACATACCCGACAGAGGCGCGGGACCTTCTAACCACCCTACTGAAGCCACGCCCCTCCTCTTCTTCTTTTTTGTAAATGTCTTTCTTTTAGTCCACACAGAATGAATGCATTATGGCTTGTTTTAGCTAAAAGTATATCCATGAAGTAAAGCTGTGCTCAAGTGTGAATTTAATGTTGGTGTCAATCATTTCCAGGTGGCTCCAGTGGTTCTTCCAATGACAACCGCAACTACCGCTACAGTAATCGTTACTACAACTCTGCTGTTACACATTCAGACTATGAGATGACCAGCCCTCAGGTACCACTGTCACTGTTTGCATACACAATAACAGAATTATTGAGACGGTATGAGGAGCTTTGCATCAGTCACTCGCTGCTGCAGGAATGTCAGATTACTTTAGCAGCTTCATTCCTGTTGGCAGTGATGAAATATTTTGGCCACACTAGTTTTTTCTGACCCTAATCCTTTTTGAGTAGTTTTATTTTGAAAATCTGCATATTGACTTTAAAAATTGTGAAAGACAACAGTATAAGCATAGCAAACTCTGCACTTCCATCCATGAAAACCAGTATTCATCATGATATGTTTGTCCTTAAACGCTCGTCCTCCAGCCTGTTTGTAAAGGACTTCTCTGTAACCTGGAACTGAACCATCCAAATCTTACTGGAGTTCCCATAATATTCATCAAATAAGCCTCTTTTCCAGTAGCACCTGCTGGGCACCATCTGACTCAACTCTGCTCTTGGTTTCAATTGTTAAGCACCACCTGAGTGTGGGTGGGGTTGTTATAGCAAGGCAGCCTGAAAGTGCCGTGATGTCATCTGTGTGTAAAACAGTCGACTCGCTCTGTCTGGATGCTGTCGTCAGCCGCCGGGCACAGAAACGTCGGAGCGCGCCGTCTTTGTGGTTGCATGTAGCCGACCAGTCCACTGATTGGTCGCTTCCTGGCCAATCAGTGGCATTTAGTCATCTCTACACGGCCCGATGGGAACCCTGGCCGAGTAGCCTAAACAAGTGTCTGAGTTGAGTCGGTGCTTGTGGAAAAGAGATGGTGCCGTCACTGGTCCCATTATAATCCCAACCCACTGACCGTGTCTCTCTTCTTTTCCATCTAGGCTCCCTCACAGCAGCAGATGAGAATGTGGCCAGGCAGTGATGGCGGAGGTGGGGGTCAGGATCCAGGATACACCCAGTTGCTGCTCCATAAGCCAGCTGCCTCCCAACAACACCAGCGCCACTTCTTGGACCCACCCCACCACCCACACCCAACTTACTCCCACCATGGGAATGGTGGCCGTGGCCTGAGGCAGGGTGGACAGACAGGCATCGGCGGAGGGGGGGGCCCACAGGGATCCTCGCCCCAGATGAGTGACAGCATGGATGTGAGTGTATCCCTGGGGCTGCACCACCTGGGGGCGGTGTCTTCCATGGAGGCCTCTCAGTTTGGCTCTGCATCTCTGCCCCTCGCTCTGCCAATCGGACTGTCTGCCTTCCGGACTCGGACGGCTCCCACCGCCCCAGGGCCACAAGCCCAGCCCCCTGAAGACTACTACCCTGCCTCCAACAACAATAACCCCACTGGGGGAGGCAGAGGGAGGCCGGACTCAGACGAGGGGCCAGCCAACTCTTGATAAAACCTGAACCATGCCCTAAAGCCATACAATTTTAACTACAACTACTACAACTACACACATACAGCCAGAGTTCAGAGACAAAGAGGTGAACTTTGTGCTGAAGGAGACTTTGTACTGCATGAGAGGAGGAGGAAGAAGGAGGAGGATGCTGGGAAACTCCTTTTTCCTGTTTTAGTTTGTCTTTGTCGCGCCTGTAACTGGAAAGGAATGATTGTGACCAGTTTGTTTTTATTAATTTTAGTGTTGATTAATATCATTTGATTTTTCTCGGGTTTGAGGAGTTGTGTGTTCTGTGTGGTTGTTGTTTGAGTCTGGAGAGGAGGAGGAGGAGGATGAAGGGGAAAGAGAGAGAAGTTTTTGCATTTTATTCCATAAAGTAGCTGTAAGCTGAAGGAGGGCTCGTGCTCGCATTGGTCTGTTCATGTTTGCACACGTGCATGTGTGTTTGTAAGATATGAGATCAGATTTGTAGCAGGCCCCCCCTCGCTGGTCTGGACGGACGGTGTCTAGTGATCAGTCTGACACGTCGAAGTCAGGTCACAGTTGAAGTGAAAAGGACCCATTTTGAAAGTAGGTGTAAATGCAGGCAGGAGGCTATACATACATATATATATAATATGCATATGTATGTGTATATATATGTACTGCTACACGAAGAAGACGGGGCGATTTGAAAGGTTGTGGTTGAGGACCGGCGGATTCTCTCTCGTGTTTCTTTGCGTTTGTTCTTCCTCTGATGTTCTTTGGTCAACAGCACGGACAGCGAGAGGGAGACGGAGGGAGGAGGTGGTCACGGGACACTGATGCCTTGCTGACACTCACAGGGATCTCCTCCTCCTCCTTCTCCGCCTCACGCTCTCCCTGCTTTCCTCTTCCTCTCCTTCTCCTGTTGTGTTTCTCCTCCAGACAGCTCCTCCTCTCTGTGCTGCTAATCACCATGACAACTGGTCCGGATTGCTGCTAAAGATCCAACACAGATCAATAAAAAAATAAAAAGAAATAGAAACAGAAATTTAAAAGAAACTTTTTAACCCTTCTGCTTAAGAGAAAAGGATAAAGTAAGAACCACTGCATCTCAATGTATTTATTACTATTTAACAAGAAAAAAACAAACTGAAAGTAACCCTTTTTTCTGCTCTTCTTTGTTTGGTTGCCTTCTTTCTGCAGGTGAGCTCTGATTGGCTATTGTAACAGTGACAGTAACTGGTGACATGGGAATGCCACTGGTTGTGGGGCTGGGTGGAGGGTAAGGGTTGGGGCAAAATAAAGTTGGATATATAATAAGAATAAAGAGTATACTTTTGCACACCAAAGTCAAACAAACATCAGCTTTCTGCTTTTCTTCCTCCTGATCTGATCGTCGCGCCCTGTCAGGTTGAATGCTGCACTTCTCATTTTCCGTCCTTGCTCCTCGTACAGCCACCACACTTTCTAAAGAAGTGTGGATATCCACTGAATTAACGAAACATGTCATCATAACAGCTGTTACACATGAAACAGGCTACAATAAGGTTTTTGTCTTAATTAAAGGCATGAAAATGAGCTGTGGTACACTTGTAGTTGTTAGCTCGGTGCTAATACCACCACAAACTAAATAGGAGAAAGGAACTGGGCATCAGGAGACTTCCTACTGTATGTCAACCACTGCCTGATCACTGACCTTACAAAGGTGAGTTGTGTGTTGTTCTTTGGACTTGTTGAGTTGTAGCTATGCGCTGGCTCTGATGTCTGCAGCACCCTGCACTTATGAAGGCCATTGCCAAAGAAACTGGATGTACAGTATGTTGGCCCTGCAAGTAATGGATCTGTTGTGATGACCTGATGGAAAGAAGCAGCCGCACTTCTGAGTAAGAAGCTCAACCCTCGCCCGACTCATTCGTAGGTTAGGACTTGGGAACAAAGATTCTGTAGATCGCGCTGCCGGGCTGAGCGATTTCCTCAACTGACTTTAAATCTTACAGACGTGCCTCCTTCCCTGAATGGAGATTTTCAGCTGTGAGTGAAAGAGAGCAAACACTCTGCAGAAAAGGTTCATCATCAAAGCAGACACTTTTCCAAGTCTGATATTTAGGAATCTGCTGGAAGCTTTTTTTTAATTGACAGTTCTTCAAGAGTACTGTCGATTAAAGAGCAAAATACTCAGTTTTGCTCTACAAGGGCCTGATATCCACTTACAAAGACGTGCTGCTACTGTTGTATCAAAACTTTAAACAAAGGTAAGGTAAAAAAAAATACATTCATCAGGCCCCAATGTGCCCGAATATCAAAGAGGAATTAAAAATGCTGCTGTGGAAAAGTTCGGGTCTCAGGAGGTTAAGTATCTCGGGGTCTAGCTCATGAGTGATGGGAGAAGGGAGCGAGAGATCGACAGTCGGATTGGTGCTGCGGATGCTGTTGTTGTGGTGACGAGAGAGCTGAGTGTAAAAGCAAAGCTCTCAATTTATCTGTGGATCTAATTCGTCCCTCACCTGTTGTCACGAGCTTTGGGTAGTAACCAAAAGAACGAGATTGTTCCGGGGATGTCCCACCGGGAGGAGGCCCCGGGGCAGACCCAGGACACGCTGGAGGGATTATATATCTCAGCTGGCCTGGGAACTTCTTGGTGATCCCCTGGAGAAGCTGGAGGAGGTGGCTGGGGGTCTGGGCTTCTCTGCCTAGGCTGCTGCCCCTGCAACCTGGCCCCAGATAAGCAGAAAAGATGGAAGGATGTACTGACAGGACTTTGTGCTGTTGAAATTTGAGATCTCGAAGTTAAAAGACACAGCTGGCCAAAAGGCATTAAGTGGAAGAGAAGTTCAACTTTAGCATGATTGGATTGCTGATGTTTGAAGAGGCAAACAGGAGGCTGATAATATCGTGCATATTCATTTATTTAAGAAGTGACAATATTCTTTAAAAAATGTGACTTTATTCAGAGGTTCATCATCACATTGACAGGCGCACAGTGATAAAGCTCAGCCTTCAGCGTGTATATGACCACTCTGGTTCACCCGTCGGCTTTTACAGGCAATCATGCTTGTGTGGTGCTTTGAGCGCTTTCTTCTTTCACGCTGCGCTCACGTGCACACTCATACCAGCACGTTTTAGCTAACATTCAAACAAACAAAATATATACTATATATACCTTTATATACTACAACTGTCAGATGATTGGTCTAAAAGAATCACATGTCAACCTGTGCTTTTAAGATTATGGTTAACAACAGTTTTAAATCTTAAAACAGGTGTTTCCAGTAAGTTCTGTCTTTTTGTGAAAGTTTTAAAAGCTTGTTTACAAAAACAAAACGTGACGAATGCTGAAATCCAACAGTGTCTCTGAGAAAGCAGCCTAGTTAAACTGCCTGCATGGCTTAAGGAGACGATTGCTTTCATTTTGATGTTATTCACTGGGTTATTTTTTATAGCTCTCTACATCAAAAGCGATTATTAATGTGCTGCTTAGTGTGGAGTCACCAGCGCCCTGTCCTACAGGAGTGGGGCAGGGATCAGGGAAGTCCAAAGCTACTTGGTGAGCCAACAAACAACTGCTGAAACGTTCTTGGGAACACAGACAGAGCTTTCTGGTTGGAAGGTATCTGAACTGCTATCTGAGGTTGAGAGATATTGGCTTGATATATCCATGTGCACCTCAAAGCAGAGGTTGGGTTCTGGAAACCAGTCTCCCTGAGAGGGAATGAATTCTGCTGGACTTGGGAGTTCCTCTCAGTGAATATGTGCCGTGGTGAGCATCCCTATAGCCACTGGTTTGAATCCTGTATGTTGGGGTTTTCCAAAGTGGATGAGAGAGTTACTTCCCTGCACATTCGGGTTTGGTCCTGAAGATTTTATTATATATTTTTTATTAGTCCTTTATTTATCCAGGTAAAAATCTCATTTTCAATGACCTGGCATCATGGCAGCAAAAGTCAAAAATACATGTACCACACAAGTACATAAGAATGAAAACAAATACAATATCCTGCACAAACGTGAAAGATTTACAATAACAGGTCATTAAGAGCAACATTAAAACAATCACACTAAAAGAATTATTCTCTTGTTCCTTTGAGACGGACCTAAACTCCCCTCAGGGAACCATTTCTGACTATTTCAGTTCCTTCTGCAGATGTTCCAGGAAGCAGGGGCAGCGTATTTAAAAGCCCTTTTTCCTAATTCTGTTCTGAGTTTTGAGACAATCAATTGTCTGATATTATGAGAACGAAGCCTGTATTGGTTGTTTTCCACATATAAACACACAGATAAGAGGGAACCAGCCCAAGGAGAGATTTCTAAAGACCAACCAATGGGAAGGTCTGTGGATATACAGACACGGACATTTAGCAGCAGCATACAAAGATGTACACGATTCCTATAGCCAGTAATGACACGTGAAGCACAACGGTGGACGGTATCAGATTTCTTTAGATAGGGTGCAGGTGCATTCATAAAAAGCACGTCACCGTAATCTAATACAGGTAAAAAGAAAGAAAAACCTTGCATGAATCTAGTGTTTTCTCACTTGGAGGGAGAAACAGGATCGATTTCTAAAAAAGTCGCTTAGTTTAAACTTGGACACAAGCCTTTGAATGTGAGTTTTAACATGATAAATTCTGATCTATAACGGTCCCTGGATACTCGTAAGAACATTTCAATTGCAGTTCCTTGAATGGTTTTAATCTTAGGAGACGTAGCTAGCAGCTCTTTGCCATTTGAGAATAACATGAACTGGGATTTCTCTGCATTTAACACCAACTTAAGTTGAGTTCAAGGACTGAACGACATCAGAGGCAGACTGCAGAAATTGCAGGGTTTGTGCTACTGAAGGAGATGAACAAGAGATAATTTATCATCTGCATAAAGATGGAATGCAGCATTTGATAAGTTATCTCAAAGGTTGTTTATGTAAAGAGAAAAAAGCAACGGTCCTGGTACGGAGCCCTGAGGAACTCCTTTGGATAGTGGGGGGAAAGAGGAAGAAGACCCAGCATGGACACAGTGTGTTCTTGCTGACAAGTAATTTGATAACCAGCTTACAGCATTTACAGATAGACCAACATTGTTTAGTCTGTTTACTAAAACAGCCCATTACATCAATGATGTCATTAACCACTTTAATGCAGCGGTTATTGTGCTGTGTTGTTGTCTGAATCTCCACTGATGTTGGGAAAGAACTGAATTTTTGTCCAAACAGGTCTTTTAATATTAATAAGCTTTTCTAGAACTTTTGCAAAAACAGAGGATTTAGATATGGACCTGTAGTTATTTCAACAAAGGCAGATTTCTACTGTCTGAGAGGCTAAGATTAAAAATGTAAGTTGGTGGTTCAGCTATAAAATCTGCAGCCAACTTAAGAAGAGGATCAAGTTGATCTGGTCCTGCAGATTGATTTAGCTCCAACAGATTCAAAGCCCTGTGGAGGCTTGGACCACAGATTCAGTCTGGTTGGCTGCACCACAGCCGCCTGTTGATTAAGCTGCTTCACATGCAGTTCAAGATGTCACAGTTCTCATTTTTCAGAGACTGGCATCTCATCATGTCCCCATAGGAAGATTTCATTATTTTCCATCTTTAGGATCCTTCAGATGTCTAGTAGTTTTTGAAAAGTAAAACTCTGATTTTGTTGTTTTTTGTTGCCGTCCCGTTCGGCACTGTAGCATCAGAATTATTGACTGAAGGCCAAGAAAAATGTCCCACAGATTTATGTTCCCAAGTGGATCATTACAGCTTTGCTATACTGGTCCACTCGATTGATCTTTATGATTTATTTATTTATTTTTAACTTTTAAGTTATTACAGTCAGAACAGACGTGACTGGGGTTAGGAAAGGGAAAGACGTAGACAAGAGAAGTTTGACTAAGGAGAGGGAAAGAAAAACAGGGGAAGCAGGACAGTGAGAAAAGACGATCTGCAGGATCACCTGCTGGGAAAAAAGAAAACAAGCAAAAGGAGAACGACTGTTTTTCTGCATGACAATGAAAAAGATGCTGCAACAAAGAAACAAATCTGTCAGGAATTAAATTGTAATTTAAACTGCGCAGACTCTCCGATTGCTGTTGTTTTGCTTTTTAAACTTTAGTGGTCCTGTAGGGGCATGTTGGGGGGATTCTACCCAGCAGAAGTAGGGCCACATAAATAAAGCAAATACTGACCTTTTCACCTGCACTGTTAAACTGCGCTGCTATTTGAGTCGCACCTGAACCAGTTGGCAGCAGTAAAGTCAAAACAGGAAACTCTTTCCTGTCAGGATGTACTTTTATTCTGAAGGAGTCTGAAAGTTGGAAGCATTCCAACACAAGGAGTAATCAAACCTTGCTGGGAGAAAGAAAGGCGGGAAACAAAGAGCTTTGGGTGGATTGTGGGACGGCGAGCAACAGAATTTAAACTGGATTAGTTAGACATCAGTCAAAGAGGGCCGTTACCAGCTACACCTCCATGGATACTTCCTGATGCCACAGTAGATTTCACATTATTGGAAAAGGAGAATTTCATTGACCAGTATTATAATTATGTTCAAATATATACAAACACAGCTGGTCAAACTGGTGTAGCTGTGGTCCGGGAGTTTACGGTTGAAATAGGGAAAAGGATTAATGATGGACTTTCAGTATACACCGGAGAAATGCTCACAATACTATAAGCTTTCAGTGGGTAGCAGGCATGAGGCCATTACATGCAGTCATTCGTTCAGATTCAAGCTCATCATTGGTCCGTCTACAGTCACTCAGACGGTGGAGCAGAGATTCAGCAAGCACGTTTCAGAACACACGTGATGCGACTTACAGGTGTTTTTATGGATTCCGGTGCACTGTGGAGGCAGGAAATAAGTAAGGGCACAAAACATGGGGTGGTTGACATGGCTGTTAGCTTTGGCCAGGCAGAGATAAAGAGTATGGTCAGGCAAGAAGTGAGGAAAAGATGGCAAAGACAGTGGGAGGAAGAAAGGAAGAGACGATGGCTGTGTAGAATTCAAAGGAGGATGGGAGCCACAGGACGGAGTAGGAGAGAGGAGGTGGTCGTATCAAGAATGAGATTTGGACATACTGGTTTGACCACTACACTACTCATGATGGGGAAACATAATACGGGGAGTGTGACTACTGTGGAGAGGAGGAAACATGCTCAGTAACATCAAATAGGACCTTTGTGATCAAAGGTCATCAGGCCTTATTTCAGTTTTAAAAAGAGGGGGAGCTGTTTGGATTTGAGACCCAGACCACACTCCACACCAGTTGGTGGCGGTAATGCACCATTCAGCTGTTTGCCAGCTGCCAATAAAAATCTAAAATCAAGAACAAGTCGGAAGCGTTATTGTGGTCGTGAGTGGAGGCTGCGGAGCGCGGACTCGTTGCCGTGCCTCGTCTACAGGTAAGCCCGAGCTCGGCAGCAGGACGCTGACCGTGAAGCGGCTCTGCCCGCTGTTGGCGCAGACTCTGTAACAGCCCGCGTGTTTGTTTCACGGGGATGGTGTTGGGCATCGTCCACCTGCCAAAGTACGCTCGTTCACACTTTCCACTGTGACCTGTCGTCGGGTTGTTTGCAAATGTCAGCAGCGTGCCACAGTTCTGCTGACATGTTTACGCGGCGCGTCCAGCCAGCCGCCTCTTATCCGCCACGTAAACCTTCTTGCGCGTCTACACTAGGCTGTCTGTAGACTCGCGCACGCACACATTGCGCGTGGGTGGCTGTAGCTCAGGTGGCAGAACTGGTTCGAGCCTAGTCTGCTCCAGTCTGCATGCGAGATACTGACCCGTGTTCGTCTCCGATGCATCCACGGGATGTGTGCAGATGTTAGTTAGCTAAGCCACCTGTGCTGGTGTGACTGGGTGAATGCACAAGTTACGTGAAGCGCTTTGATTGTAGAAACGCGCCGTGCGCGGGCACGGCCTGCTGTGGAACTTTCTGCACGTCGTTCCTCTGGTCCGGTAACATCTGGGTTCATGTCTGTCAGCTGCAATATTAAAAAAACCAAAGGGCAGTTATGCTCACATCTGTGCTGAAACATGATTGAAAAAGTTCAGATGAGTTTTAATAAAATGTTAACATGACGTCACATCATGACATCACATTGTTTACAGTTTTTAAAGCAGATCGAGATGAAACTGATGAGAGAAAATGTGCTGAAAGTTTCACGTCAACTGTTAAAGATGATTTTATATGAATATGATGCAATCAGACTCCGCAACGTGTGCACGCGCATACGCGTGTGTGAGTCTGATGTTTGCCATCATCACTGGCCCGAAGCTTACATTTACGCGTCAGATAAGAGGCGGCTGGCTTCACCACATCTCACAAATGACAGCTCACTGATCCACTGAGGATAAAGGCGACACACCAAGGACAGAAAATTGGAATTCTTTCCTTTATTTCTGCTCTTTTAAGTATCAACTACACAAAAAGCCTCCTGCCAGGCTGCAGGGCTCTTTGTGTGAAGGTGGGCGGTTGGACAGACTGACAGGGTGGAGGGTGACAGAGTGAGAGGCCTGATAAACCAACTGTCGGCTATATCTTTACCAGCTATCGGCTATCAGCTACACTCAGGTCGGGGCTGGAAATAAAAATCTTCCAAACATTTTACCAGCCGCTAGTTTCTGTGTGTAACATTTGGCCAGAACAACCAAACCTTATGAATTGTATCATTTATTCTTAAATGGTCTGTATTTGTATAGCGCTTTACTAGTCCCTAAGGACCCCAAAGCGCTTTACATATCCAGCACACATCCACACACACATTCACACACTGGTGATGGCAGCTACATTGTAGCCACAGCCACCCTGGGGCGCACTGACAGAGGCGAGGCTGCCGGACACTGGCGCCACCGGGCCCTCTGACCACCACCAGTAGGCAACGGGTGAAGTGTCTTGCCCAAGGACACAACGACCGAGACTGTCCAAGCCGGGGCTCGAACCGGCAACCTTCCGATTACAAGGCAGAACTCCCAACTCTTGAGCCACGATCGCCCAACTAACTAATTAATTAACTGTGTTACATTTCTGCACAGTACATTTTTTCTTACAGTGTATCATACATGTGTACCTGTACACACTGATGTAACACAGTATGAACACCTTAACTTAATTCAAACCTGACACGGTGGCTTGTGCATTGTTTTAAATTTACACGCCACTTCATAAATTTACCCACATTTGGCCAGTGGTGGGTCCTAATTTCCACCCCAGCTCAGGTCCATCAGTATGTTTCACAGCTTGTCTGTTTGCCATGAAGCAGAGGTTCAGCTTTAGTCTCTAATGTTGAATTAAACATATAGGATTGTTAGCTCGCATGAGCAGGTGTTTCACTTCCCCTCAGAATCTCACAACAGAGCAGAGTTAAGAGGTCTGGAGCTGGATGGTTAATCCAGTCATTTTAATGTTAAACCTTTAAGTTCGGTTCTTCATTTCACGTTCACCATGGTGGCGTAAAAACCCCAAAACAAACGTGTGTCCAAAAACCGGACGAGCATATTCACTCTTCTTGATTTCATTTGTGTTTGCAGTTGGCCAATGAGAACAGTCGCTGTCCTTGGAGGAGGGATTGGGGGTTTGGCTGCATCCTACTACCTGTGCAAGAGCCCCCAGGTTACCAAGGTAACACATGCTTTGTTTGATTAGGAGAAAAAAGCTGGGAACAAAAACCCTCCATGTATGAAGCAAGTTTCTCGAGCACCCTTATTACATCTGGCAGATGTTAGAAACACCCTGTGACAGTGAGCTGAAAACCTGCTTGTTACTGGTTGAAGTTCATTATTGTCGCGCTGTTTGAAAAGCGCGCTTGAAAGGCAGTCAGCGGATCCCACGTGCTGCAGTGTAAGTACAGGAACAAAGGCAGGTGGTGTTTCCCCCACACTAGCTTCTTTTACTGGCTCCCTGTTTAGTCCAGAGTTGGATTTGAAACCCTACCCCTCATTTTTCTAACCCTCATCAAACCAGGAAGTGAAACCTCGAGATGTGGTTAGGAATTCCATTGGTAAAATGTCCTCCGCTAAGACGGGCAGGAAGTCCTGTGCGCTCAGTTCTGTTCACTTTTATTTAACACTTATCTCAGGACACTTTATATAAGAAGGCTGTTTCACATCAGTGCGCTGACCTCACTGCTAGCGAGAGCGAATGACCCAACTTTGTGTTGCACTGAGCGCGCTGCTCTGCGGCTGCTCTGCGGCTGCTCTGCGGCTGCTCTGCGGCTGCTCTGCGGCTGCTCTGCGTGTACGAGATGCTCCTTCATTTCAAAAAATTGTGTCCTTCGTTGTATCCACTACGAGGGTCTGTGTCGTTTTATATCCAAATGTTTAATAAAACACGTATCGCTCATTCATCAGCACTAAAGCTCTGAAACTGTGCCGACTAGTGAAGAGTGTCGTTTCCACAATAGTCCCCCCGAGGTCCACGGAGCCGTTGAAAGGACTCTGGAGGTCCCTGTATGTGGAAAAGTTGACCAAACTTGGACGTGTGAAGAACGTTCATGTTCTGCAGGCTTTGCTTCTATTGGTCGCGGGAAAGTGCATCGCCACGCACCGCGGTCGATGCACGAGTATATCACGCTCCACATCTGTGCTTAAGATAAGATAAGATAAGATAAGATAAGATAACCTTTATTAGTCCCACACGTGGGAAATTTGTTTTGTCACAGCAGGAAGTGGACAGTGCAAAAGTTATGAGGCAAAAATTAGGATACAATAAGAATAAATACAGTACACAGCTGTACAGAATAGAATAAAATACTATATACAGTAGAATAAAATAAAATAAATATACAATAAGATAAAAATAGAATACAAATACAAATACTATATACAACTGAGTAAAAATACAACGATGACAGAAAGGATTATTGCACTTAGTATTATTGCATATGTATGGATGTGTGTGCTTGATCAGTTAAAAGTATCTCTCTCTTGT